CTGCCGCCACGACCATGCCGCAATTGGAGGCGGGGCTGCCACTCTAGGCGCCGCTTGACTGGCAGCGCCGTGGCAGCTGCTGATCTTTGGAGCTGGTCTACGTCGAGGAACTTGGCACCGGCATCTGACGTCGCCTCTGGTGCCACCCCGCTCCCTCGGCCTGCCGGGCTCGTGGCTGCCATACCCTGCCCAGCCTGCGGCGTTCGTCGCGATGTCGCTGGCCCTGGGTTGTTGCTGAGTGCCACCGCCGCCCGCGCCTGCCAGCAGAACTGTGAGAATGGCACCACTCCTGCACGCGTTTGTTGGCGGGCCCCGGCACAGCAAGTTGCCGCCGCACCCTGTTCCTGCGCATCGCCGATGGCCCTCGATGACAGCAGCCCGGTCGTTATGCGACGCGCCTTGGAAACCAACCGGACGACTTCGTGGGGCCCGGCGGCTGCATCAAACCCGCCCTCGCCCGAGCCGCACTGGGTGGCAGCGAGGCGCAGCGCCCAGTGGCAGGCGCTGCGGCCCGCAATCAGGGGCCCGACGCACTGCAGGAGTGGGCTGTCCCTGAGGCTGATTGTCACGGGTGAGCCTATGGAAACGCATCGGTGGGAGATTGATGATGCAATGGAATGGTGCGTGAAGCGTTTGGTGATCCCAGACATGGAGGTGACACACTTTTTTCTATAATCGTGGGGGATTGCGGGCCGCTACACTTTCTGAGGGCAGCATTATAAACCACAGCATAGCAGGAATGACGAAGGGGTTGACCTGCCCACCTGTTGCATCCTTCTGCTGATCTGCCAGCCGCGACACCAGGCCCCACAACGCACTCAGGTCTTGCTGCGCAGCCCGCGCCAACGCGTTGGCTCCTGTTGATGCAGCCGAGCTTGGCCCAGCCGTTGGCGATTGCCCGCCCCCCGTCGAGCGCGGAAGCAGTGCAGTGGCGGCCAGGGCGCCAGTGATGGGACCCAGGTCCGCCACTGTTAGGCAGCTGCTGAGAAGCCGGCCCCCCGCCGAGGCCCAGTGGAAGTCCAGCCGACCAAACATCGCCCGCGGCAACGGCACGCCGATACCCGTGCCCTTGGTCGGCCCCGGGTGTGCTGCCGCTGCAGCTGCTGTTGCCTCGCTAGCAGCAGCTGCCAGGTGGAAGGCCTTGGTGATCTGGTCACCGCTATCTACCTCGATGCGAAGCGTGGGCGGTTCGGCCTGGGGGTCAATCACGCGCCGTGGCCTGCGATCGCCGCCGCTGCTGCTGCCGCCATTGCCGTTGCCGCAGTCGCTGCTTTGGGCAGCCTCAAAGATGTCTGCAATGGTGTCGCCGCACAAAGACCATGCTGAAAGGGAAACCTGCAGCCCGCAGGAATCGGCGCTCGTTGTCTGCTGGAACACCTGAGTGGCCGCCGCTCTCAGCATCCTTGCTATTGCAAAGAGAGCGCAATGGTCACCACGCTGCCGTGTATGTTTCTGCTGCAGCTGCAGCTGCAATTGCTGCTGCTGAAGCTGCTCTACTCCACTGCTGCCGCCGGTACTTTGGCCGCGCGACCCAGGCAACTGAACACCAGCTGTCATGGCCATTGGGTCGCCACAGAGGATAATCGATGCGTCAAAACCGCCCATAAGCAGCCCGACAATGCCCTGCAGCAAAGTTCAAGGAGAGGGAGGATGTCCCGTTTGCGTGCACACCATGGCCTGCACTTGCAAGCAGCCACAAGTGGATCCCTTCTGTGCCACCCACAAGACTCACGATGCCAGCAGCACAGGGTGGAGCAAAACAAGTGAAAGAGCGCACCTCTGGCAGCGCAGCATCACCCCAGCTGACTTGGTCAGCGACCAGCTGCGCAGCAGGCGCCCCGTGTGCCCCTCCAGCCACACGCAGGACGTAGCTGCCAACCGGCTGCTGCGCTGCCCTTGCCGCGGCTGGTGAGCCCGTGGTGCCTCCACTGCTCCAATCACCGCCGTCGCCACCACCGCCGCTGCACCTGGCAGCCCCCCCTTGTTCACTGGGGCAGGCCCCACGTGAGTCGCTAC